TATTTTCACTATATATAATTAACATTTATTAACTATTATAATTTCGTGATAAGCTTTTTTTTTCAAAAAAAAACCGAACCATCTGACTCGATAGTGTCACTTGTTTCTTTTTTTCTTTTTCTTCTTTTTACAATGACACGACAGAAAATCTCACTACAGAAACCTAAACCTAACCTAAACCTAACCTAAATCATGGTACGCTGTACTTCAAGAAAGTCACCACTCTTTTGATCGAATGTTAGTAAATTACAGGATAAGCAGAAAATTTTCAAGATATTTTCACTATATATAATTAACATTTATTAACTATTATAATTTCGTGATAAACTTTTTTTTTCAAAAAAAAACCGAACCATCTGATTCGATAGTCTCACTTGTTTCTTTTTTTCTTTTTCTTCTTTCTACAATGACACGAAAATCTCACTACAGAAACCTAAACCTAAACCTAACCTAAACCATGGTACGCTGTATTTCAAGAAAGTCATCACTTTTTTGATCGAATGTTAGTAAATTACAGTTTACAGGATAAGCAAAAAATTTTCAAGATATTTCCACTATATATAATTAACAACGGTTAATGATCGGGTCTGTCTTATGTAGACTAAAAAAAAGCTGAAAATTGGCATTCGATAATCTGTGGGTAACGAGATCGACAGCTACACTATTTAGATACAAACGTTTGCAATTCTTTCTTCAAGGAGCATTATCGTGGCGCGTGTCGAGCAAACGGAACCAGGAACGCCCCTGGTGGACGTGGACAAAATTCGAGAAGCTCTGGCTGCGAACGGAGTCGGGATCATTGGTGGGAACGCGATCATGAACACGACCATGCACATGGAAAATACGAATCCTCCTGCTGTCGATGGAACGCAACGTGTCAATGACGGTCAAACAACGCTCGTTAACAATACCGTTACAACCGTTCAGAGCGAAGAAGTGGTACGTATGCGTGTGCAACGACGTGCAATCGGGAATGTTGGAATGTGAAATTGCATCGGCAACGCCAGCTGCTACTTTAAAAACTCTGAAAAAATATGTTTTAGACGGTGTACAAAGCAGAAAACAAATTATTAATCTGGCTTCTGATAATTTTGGGTTTACTCATGCTTTTGGCGATTGCCGCGTTGATTGTCTGTTGCATATGCCCTGGATGTCCGTTTTACATGGCACCCAGGAAAAGACGGGTATATTCGTCGGAAACGTTGGTCGTACGATCAGACGGCAGACCAAAGCGACATCTTCATCGGCAGCCGGCAGTAGCCGCCGAAGGTGAGCTCTGTCCTTCGACACAACTTCTATCTCGTCGTGGTTGTCACAAAATTGTCGTGAAATGAAAATCGTCGTTCTGCCGTTGTGGAAAATCTCAGTATCGTGGAATGGGAGGAAGCAGGCGTGGAGCGCCGACCCGACGCGTAGGAACTGGCAGTTCAATAAAAAGAACGTTGTGAAGAATTGTTCGCTGCCTGGCGACGTGGCCTACGTGGCTTCCGGCCAGCCGGGCGACCTTCAGATGACCCTCGAGGCTCAACGACTGAGGGACGGAGGTTCGAGGTACGAAGCTCACTCGAGGAGAAGCAGAATGAACGAGCAAGAGAGAATGTACATGGAAGACGTGGAGGAACAAAAGAGGGCTGCGAGAGGTTATCGCACCGCCGAGTTGGATTCCCTGCAGCGGCACGAGGCGGACAGAGGCTCCGACCTGCAACACCAAGCTTACAGACAAAGGTACGTGAAACCATAGATCTTGCTATTATATCAGTTAGTTCAGTCTAAGAAGAGACAATCGGCGCCGCAGATTCATGGAGGCCGACGTGAACGTCGAGGAGCAACCGACGGTCAGGGAGCAACACTTTTACCGCGAAGGTAACGCCGAGGTGCTGCGGCTGGTGACGCGGGGGCAGCTGGAAGACACGAGCCATGTTCATCAGCGGCCGACAGCCTTGATCGTCGATGGTAAGGACATAATTCTGCAAAGATTCATCGAAGACCAGAGGTCAAGGCACGAGTTGTCGATGCAGGACATCGAGGCAGCTCGTAGCATGGAATCGCACCAGAGATCGAAAGAAGTATGCCAACAGCAACAACAACCGCCGGAGATAATCCTGATACCGGAGAGGCTGGATCTCGGCCATCACAGGCAGCACTTATCCTCCCTCGAGGAGATTCGGCCGACAGTGCAGAGGCTCGTGATCGATCACGGTGATTACGCTGACTCGCAAAAAACGGCAGAGAGAGAGCCCCTTCAAATGAGGGAGACGCTGAGGCAAGAGAAGCAAGAGCACGCCGACGTGCGCGCCGTGACGAGCGTGCCGATTTCTGACAAGCCGCCGCCGACGATTCCTGACATTCCCATCAAAGAGCAGAGAGCTGTTCAACCGGCGGACGACGCTACTCGCTACTCGTTTCACGATTTCGAGCTGGCTCGGCAGAACGCTTTGCTCACTCGATTGCTGCTCGAGAGGGAGAGTCGTCGAGCAGCAGGTGGCGGGATGGACTCGACCAGTTACCTGGAGACTCAGAGCCTGCCCGGGCAGGTGGCGATCGCCACTCAGACCGACAGAACGGCGGCCACTCAGACGGAGCGTCAGGTGAAGAGCAGAAGCGACAACGACGAGTCCGACGAGGAGTCTAAGCACAGAAGGAAGCTGAAATCGAGGAAAAAGTACGGTGACGGGGACTGGAGACGATCCGCACGAGCTCCGTGGACGAAGTCGCCGATCGAGGAGGAGGCGAGGAGGAGCCCTTGCTTCGACAAGCGTCTCAGCATCCTGAGGAAGAAGGTGCGAGAGGTGAAGGAGGGCAGGAAGATCTCGCTGGAGCCCGGTGTGCTGCGGGAGATCTCGGACTCGTTGGACGGGAACGGGAGTTGCTCGTGCAAGGGCGAGGAGGACGAGACGACGAGGCGCAGCTACCAGAGAACCGAGCAGACGAGCATCAGTTACAAGATATTGAACGAGAAGGAGAGCGGCTCGCAGTCGAGCGAGGAGAAACGTCCGGCTTCCTCGCCGGAGGAGGCCAAGCTTCAACGGGAGAGACGCGAGAAGAGTCCTGCGAGAAAGTCCGAGGCGAGATCGAAGACGCAGAAGAGGCCGAGTTTCCGAATCCTCGAGAAGGAGTTCACGATGCTGACGAAGAAGCTGAGCAAGCTCGGCGAGAGGAAGTTCCAGGAGAGCACCGGCAGCACCGACGAGAAGTCGGACGCGTTCGCGAAGAAGACGGATTCCTCGACCAGCTCTCAGAAACAAACGGCCGAACGTGCGAGCGCGTCGAAAGCCGAGCAGAAGGGAAAGCAGAGGAAAGACTCGGCGATAGCTAAAACGAAGCAGAAGCTGAAGTACCAGCAGAGTCAGGTGATGAGCACGGGGAGTTCGGAGTTGGACGACGGCCTCGACAAACCGAAGAAATCGAGCGTGAAGCAGAGACAGCCGATCGGCGGCCAGAGCCACGCGAAGGTGAAACGTCAGGCGCAAATCGATCGACGAGAATCGAAGAGACAGAGTATGCCCGACTATCGAGACCAAGGGGTTGAAAAACGGAGAGAAGCCGCCTCGAAGGACACTCCGAAACTGGAGCCAAAGTCTGACAAACTTGGCAAGACGACGACCAGAGCACCGAAACTCGCTGCCCTGTCTCGCAAGCGGAACGCGAGCGAGGAAACCAGCACCAGCACCGCCGAGGAGAAGAAAGACGAAGCAGCCACGTTTTTCCCTGCGCGAGACTTCGCCACGAAGAAGAGCAACACGCACCTTTCGGAGGGAGATTCGAACGCGTCGAACCGAAGAGCAGATTCTACCAAGCGTCGACGCGAAGCGGAAACTTTGCCGAAGGAAATCATTCGGCAAAAGTTCAGCGACGACTTTGTCGAAGAACCAAAGACAGACGAGGAGGGAAAACGAGCTGCAGCGGAAGCGGGGAGGAAATCTGACACGACAGTGCAAGTGTCAGAAAATGAACTGAACAAGGGGATGCAGGAAAATTCATTTGAAAAGGATGCGAGTACCGAGAAACAGTTAATTACAGGTTCGACTGTAGCTCGAGATCGACGGGCCGATAAAACTTCGTCGGGAACAGAATCTACGGAGAGCGTAAAATACGCGGAGAAAGAAGAAACTGAAAGAGACGTGGCTCGCCACGTACAAAGAGATTACAAAGAGAAGGATGAATCTTTAGAGGAGCGGATTGAAACTAAAACCACGGACGCTTGGTCGAAAGAGAAAGAGAAACAGGGAGAACAGAAAATGAGAAAACTTTCGAAAGACTTTGGGAAAGAAAGTGTCGCTTCGGAAGGGATTGACGAGACAGAGGCGGCCTACAAAGCTCAAAGACAGACTCGAGCGGGAGAAAAGGACGCGTACATATTGCTAGACTATGCTGACGGAGCTAAGGGAATTACGCTGGATGTCGAGGACAAAGCTGAAGACGTGAA